GTGTGTGTGTGTGTGTGTGTGTGTGTGTGTGTGTGTGTGTGTGTGTGTGTGTGTGTGTGTGTGTGTGTATCATATATATCGAAATATATTATTTCATTATTTATTTTTTTTATAATTTGTTCTGTTCTCATATTGCCAATTGTAATTTCTAATTTGATAATATAATGTTAAGAAAGATATTTTCAAAAAATGTTATTTTCAGAAACTTAAAATTTATTTTTGTTCAATTATTGCCAATCATCACTATGCAATGTGACCGGTAGTTCGTTTTAATATACAAACATTTTCAATTAAGAATCTTAAATCTACTAACATCTTAACAATTTACGAGCAAATTTACAAATAATTTAAATGTATTAAAAATATCGCACTTACGTTTACACTTTTTCTATTTATAGTAACATTCCATTTACTAATAGTCTTCTATTTGTAGTTACTTTTTTAGTGCCTTTTGCTATAATACAAATACGTCACTTTATACAAACTTTAGATAAATTTTAAAATGATGTGTCAAAATTTTGTACAACTTATTGTTCTATTCAATTGTATATGTAAAAAAATTTTCACTATATCTATTTTATAATTTATACAATTACAACAAAAATATTTAATTAAGAAGAAATAAAAAAAGTAAAAATTAGTTTAATTAAGGAATTGAGATTGACAGTTAAAGATAGAGTAAATTCTCTGTTTAGAAAGAAATTTTTCGAATAAGTTTCTAAAGTAGACTGTTCGCGAACAAAAGAAAATTTTTTTTATTTTTTACTTATTTCTGCGATATCTTAGTTTATGTTAGAAGATTCATCAATGTTTCAATGGTATCGGAAACAGCTGTTACGTAATATCGCAATTCCCGTTTGAAGTTCTGCATATCCGATAAATTATGAACGTTTTCTGCCACCTAATGTTAGTCTATAGAGAGAATATGTAGAGGAAAATTTTACATTACACAGCTATTTCTTCAATTTCTTTTGACATTTCATATTTCAATAAAAATAGCAAAAAGTCATATATCAATTTGTTACAATGCTTGCATATTTTTCCTCTTTGCACCAAAGATAGCTGATGCAACATGCATCGACTTCGGTTTTCCGCATTTTTCATCTAGCGCATATTTTATAAGAATGCCATTAAGATGGCGTGTATCTTGCGCAAAAGAAAAATTTACAAGACAGTGTATAGCTTCTTAAATTATACCTAGCAATATTGTAATTCATCTGTCATTTCATCGCAAGTTCTCGTATTGTCGTTTGTTGATTCTCGACAATACGAGAAATGATTACTATCAAGCAATAGTATTTGTGATACATAGTATTTGTACACATAACCAACGATTATACCAATGATTATCATGCAAGAAAAAATAACATTAAAGAAGGCAATTGCCGTCGTAAAATTGAGTTTATTTGTCATATGGTTTTGGCCGCTACCGCAAAACACTAATAAACGTAAAATACTGTGCATGAAACTGTATCAACATGTCTGTATAATATTGACTATAGCCGTATTAGCGTCGATGATGTATGCGCTTGTGCAAAATCTAGATGATCTTGATCTTCTCATAAAATCGGCATTGGGCTTGTTCCCTTGCAGTCACGTTATCGGCAACATTCTATGTCATTTAATTATTTATCAACGTTTACAAGTAATTAATATAAATATTGCTTTTAAAAAAATAGACCACCGTTCCTTTTATCTATTATTAGTTGAAATAATTTAATTGATTGTAGTATGTCACTTTCGAAATGGAGAATTTTTACGCAGTGATCAAGCCTCATGAAAACGCAATTATTCAGCGGGAGTATGTTGATAAATACGCAAAGTTTTATGGCTTCTGCATAAGTTTATTCTACATGAGTCTTTTTGGCCTCTTTGTGGGGCCTATCGTGCTAGATGAGCCACTTCCAGCACCTGCTGATTTTCCATTTGACGCGTCTCATCAACCACTAAGGGCTATCACGTATATTCATCAAATCGTGGTTGGCCTGTATATAGCTGCCCATTTGTGTGTAAATGCTTTTATGGCGCTTTTGCTCTGGTTAGCATCAGCAAGATTCAAATTGTTGATTGAAGAATTACGAACAATCACAAATATGTACGATTTCTCAAAATGCATCGAAAAGCATCAACAATTACTTGAGTATGACATCTTTTTAAAACTCTTAAAAAAATATTGAAAAATTGTATTGCGTATATTTAATTAGTCAGAATAAATATATAAGACATATATATAGTTTTTGAAATCATGAAATATAATTTTAGATATGCAGCAGAAGTAGCTCTTACAGTTCGACCTTTTGCATTGGTAACTGTATTTTTCAGTACTGTATCATTAATAGTATTCGGTCTTATTTTTATTACAGTAAGTATAACTTCACAGCTTTACTAGCAAACTATACGATTAAGATTATAATTACATACTTGTAGTAATATTATTAAACTTAATGATGAAAAAAACATAAAATGTGATATTACGTCTAACAAAAAAATATAAAATATTCTGATTAATTTCATTAATTTTTAATATATAGATCTAATAAACGCATTGATATCTTTTTATTAGATTATTTTCATTATCAAAATTTTTTTTAATGATAATGTTCTATACCATATTTGTTTAAATAGAAAGTGTCGTTATCTTTGAAGATTCAGTGTGTCTTTTTAGCAACAAGTGCATTATTGGAAGTATTTATGTATTCATGGCCAGCGGAACATTTGATTCACATAGTAAGTCACATAGTATCACATTTACACATAATTTATATTTCATTATTTTTAAATGTTTTTTTTAGAGTACCAATGTCGCACAAGTAGCTTTTGAAATGGATTGGTACGATGATTCAGAATACTTTCAAAAGAACATACAGATGATTATATTGAGAAGCCAAAAACCAATACTTGTTGTATTACCATGCGGTTTGCCCTCTTTATCTTTACGTTATTATGCATCGGTAAGATAGTGATTTCGATTATTATTAAAATTTCTTAGCACTACACATTTTGTTTTGTAGTTCTATTTTCTTATTTAAAATTAGAATTTAAGAAAATTAATTTCTTTATTATTTTTTAAAACAAAAAAATATCAATACAAAAATAAAAAATAAAATGATTTGTATTATAAAATTTTCAATTTAACAAAATATAGCAATAATTCAGTTGAATCAATATTTAATTATTGTAAGTATTGCATAATAAAATTAAAATAAATCTACGTTTTAAATATACATTAAGTAACAAAGAAATATCAACTTCCAAAAATGTTTTGCAATTACATGTCTATTATGATTAAGTGAAATTTTTATTTACATATGCAATAACTTGTTATAAAAATATATATTTACAATATGATAAATGTTCTAGTATCTGTCAACTATATTCTCCTACTTCACTACAATGCGAATAATGTTTGAAGAAACAAATTCTGGAATATAAGTAAAGCAACAAATTATTAAGAAGTTCTGCACCTACTATTATACAATACTAAATTATTTTCAATTAAACTAATTTAATTTATATCTTAATCAGATTTTACCATAAAATGTTTCAATATAGTAAAATATATAATGTATATAATATTAAAAAAATAAACATAAATCTTAATAAATAATTACCGTAAAGAATTTAAAATAATATAATATAAGATAATGAAAAATATAAGATTATGTGATTCTTTTTATCTAAAAGAAATATTTTTTTCAAGTATAGAAACTTGGAATTTGATAAATTATAATTATTGATAGTTTCTTTCGTATGCGTATATTATACATACAATAAGTTAATTGCATATTTCGTGCGATTATTAATGACAAATAGAACATATAACTGTATATACTCAAAAATACAACAATTTAACAAATAAAAATTATCTTAATGTATCTTGCATAATATTTTTTTACAATTATTTTATTATAATTTACGAAGTTTTAAAATTCATAAACGTTTCTTTGATCCTTGAAGTATTTTGCTTTGAAGTATTTTGTGGGAGACTTAATCATGTATTGTAGATACTTTCATCCACTAGGGCAGTAAGTACAAAGCTATATAGTCTCCTTTTCTTTCCTGCTCCCTTTACCCATTTGAGATTATGAGTATGTAAAGAAAGATATAACAATAGCTGTGTTGTTAAGCGAGATACAGTCATTCTTATTTCTAGAAATACAATAATAATATTTCTTTCTTCCTTTTCTTTTTTTCTATATAAAATATCTAGATAAAAAGAATCTTTACATAAATATCTTTCAAAAAAAAATTCTAAATTATTAACAATATTTTTCTGATTACAATTGAAGTTTTTCATATTTATCAATTTAATAATGAAAAATGTCTATACACAAATTCAAATCAAAATCATATGGGTTTTCTGTATCAATTAATTTTTTTTTTACTTTAGCCATTAGCAAACAATTAAGATGCAGTCATTGAGAAAGTCTTTGATAAAATATTTTGTGTAAATTATTTGTAAATTATATTTTATGTAAATATTTTACATAAATTATTTTAAAATAGCAAAATAAACATTTTGCTATTAAATATATCCATTATATTTATCAAAATTTACAAAAATTTGTTTATTTTATTTCTTTTTTATTTAATTTTTATACGCACATTACAACTAATTCTTATACGCACACAGAGAGAAAGAAAGAACCGCATTCCACCGTAATTCTACGTAAACTTCCGTGACGCAAACTTCGAGCGAGCCACTGATGCATGATTTTAATTTATTTATTATTCTATATACATATTTCTTTAACTTTTATTGTTACAAATGTTTTAAAAAATATATATATTAAATTTAAACGTATATTGCTATTCTCCCTTTTTATTTTCTTTCATAATAATTTTATCAATATATACCTCTTCGAAAACAGAAATTTACAGAAAGATACATCATACATTTGTTATAGTTATTATTTTATATGCATGTTTCTGTAACTTTTATTGCAGATGTTTCAAAACACACTATTGTATGATTGAATCTAAACACATAGTGTCGTATAAACATATAGTGTGTTCTTCTCTCACATTATCTTTCATAATAATTTTATATATATATATATATATATATATATATATATATATACCTCTTCTAAGACAGACGTTAACAAGAATATACATAATACATTCGTAATAATCTCTCCTCTCTTCCTTCGCTATATTCGTTTAGCGCATATTCTTCAACCTTTCATTACGTATAATGATTCATGATTCAAAGTTTCCGAAAATATCATTTCTATAAGTTGCAATACGCGTACGTAGTACAATGGAAAATGTAAAATTAGAAAAAGTGCTTTCTATTCTAAAATTAAGTACTAATGCCAATTTGAAGTTGACCGTTACCAAGAGACGCAACAAGGTTTAAGATAATCTTGTCAAGACTGCATCATTATATGTGCACTGGTTTTATCATAATCCTAATGTCACCGTTAACATATACCATAACAATGATCTTAACGCCACATTGATGAATTATTGAACTATCTTGTTGTTTACATGCTATGCATAATATTATCTTTTTCAGAATTAATCATCATCATATACAAGTATTTATCGATATATTTGATCACTAAAAGTTTTCTAAATTAATTTTACACATATAAAGTTAACTTCTCTCTCTCTATATATGTGTGTGTGTGTGTGTGTGTGTGTGTGTGTGTGTGTGTGTGTGTGTGTGTGTGTGTGTGTGTGTGTGTGTGTGTGTGTGTTAGTATGTACGTGTGAGTATGTGTATGTGTGCGTATATGTATGTCTGTATATAATAATTTACAGAACGTTACTTTTGAAATAAGCAATTTTTGCGCTCTAATGAAACCGAACGAAGAAGTCATAATTCAACGATTAATAAATGTATCGTATTTTATAGCATATCTTTGACTATTTTCTATTTGACTGGTAGAGCGGGTGTCGCTATCGTGCCTACTATAAAACATCAAACATTTCCATCATCAGCTGAATATCCATTTGATGCATATAAAGAACCTCTAAAAACTATTGTCTACATGGATCAATGTATAATTGAAATGATAGTAACTGTACAAATCTATATGAATATCTATGTTGCTTTTTTGCTTTGGTTTTTATCGGCAAGATTTGAAATATTGACTGAAGAACTGCGAGCTATCACTAATATTTATGACTTGATGAAATGCATTAAAAAGCATCAAGAATTATTTAAGTGTGTCGCATTCAAATACATATAATTTATACTTTTACTTTACTTTTACAAATAATCAAGCTGAAAAGATTTAAGTGATAGAAATTTTGAAGATATAATGTATTTATTCAGATACTCTCAGAAATTATTAATGTTGGACATTATTTTGTATTAACAAGTATATGTTGTGGCACAATTACTACAATAATAGTCGGTATTTCGTTTCTTTGCGTAAGATATGTAATATTTTAAATCAATTTCTTCCCATAGACTTTTTCCTAAACTCTTATATTCATCGAAGTTACTAAATATTATACTTGTAAGTTAAGATTTTGAAAATTTTGAAAATCTGCAATATATTATATATTATCAAATAAATATATTTATAATTTATTTATATAATAAAAACGAAGAGAGAGAAAAGTGTTTATGTGAAACTCAAAATATTTTATTTTAATATTAGATATATTAATATTAAAATAAAAATTCCATTATGTTTATTAATTTTTTTTAAATAAGATCACTCTTCGACAATAAGAACCCAATATATTATCATGGTTTTAACGTGTTTAGTGGAAGTATTTATGTATGTATTTGGCCTGCAGAGCATTTAATTTTTATCGTAAGTCATTCGTTATTATAATTTATTATAACTTATTATAATGCAAATAATAAATATTTATTATTATCCCTAGAGCAATGATGGCACAAGCAGCTTTTGATGTATACATGTATAATCAATCAGTTGAACTGTGGAAATCTTTGCACATTATTATGATGAGAAGTCAAAAACCGATAATGCTTGGAATACTTTGTGTTACGCCATCAATATCTTTTATTTATTTTACATCGGTAAGATAAAAATTCCAAACAATTTGAAAAAAATTGCTGTTAAATTATTTGCATTAATTATTTAATTATTATCATGTTTATTTTAATCGTAAAAAATTTATTTTTATATTAAAATTTATACTATTGCATAAAACAATTATATTTGTTTTTATATGTTTTAGTACTGTTCAACTATAATGTCATATTTCACAACACTATGAATAATAATGCTAGATGATAATTAAAGATATTGCATACCTAAATAACCGCTTTAAACTTACAAAATGATGTATTTAATTAGCAAATTTAGAATTTTATGTAAAAAAAAACCACACTTTTGCATATATTACTAATATGTAATACAGCACATGTACTAATATGTCATTACTTTAGAAAACTATATTAATTCAACATAATAATAAATAAAATATTTGCAAAATTTCTCGCAAAGTATTACATTGTGGAATGAATACATCTATACATCTTACGTATACATATCTTCAATATTAGTAATCATATACTATTCATTAATTATATTTTTAAATCTCATTTACTATATATATCATGTTTCTTTCAGATTGTATAAAAGAAATAAAAAATAAACTAAAATTCTTTAAAATATTATATGCAATAGTAATTATTTAGTATCACACATTTGTGGGATATAATATTGCAATTATTATCAGTTCTTTTTTATTGTTCTCTTAACTTACCCTTTATTCAATTTTAATTATTTCATTCTTATGACATCTCTACTTGCACAGTATATGTGATAACTAAATAATAAATGTATTTAAAAAAATTAGAAAAATAATATTTAAGCTTCTCTGCATCAATTTTCATTTCTACAAATAAATATTACGTAAAAAAATCTATATGAATAATTTAAACGTAGTTGTAGGGCTCACAGTATAATAAAACACTTCTAAATTCCAAAACATTTCAGTGGAACTAAGGTTGCATCAGGAAACCCACCGTACATGTATGTTAAATAATTTCTAAAGAAATTGCTGTATAATATAGTACAGTAGCTGTATTTTTCTGACGCATTTTATAACTTATTAATCATCTTCAGCCTTGTATTCACATTGCATATTACAGAAAATTTTATTCTAAAAACTGTGTGCTTTCGATGATTTCAAGAAAAACACGAGGAAAGAAAATTCCAAATCATGCATTAATGATGATACCTCTATTATATGCCAATTTTGCAATTTAAATGTTAAAGATGCTCTAGATACTAGTGGAACATAAATTTTGCAAGCTGTACGTTTTACATTACACGTACACGTACACACACATCCTTATTGCTTAGTTTATGAGAATTTATTGCGGAAGTATATTCGATGCAAAACAGAGAGAGATGAAAATATGCATAACCGTTTGGGCTAAAAGTTTCCTTGTTGTATATGCGCTTCTCATTGTTCTGTCATTTTGAAAGGAAAATCTTTTAATATCACGATACGTTTATATATAAATTTAACATTTTAATCATGTGGTGGTCAAAACTAACATTAAAAAAAGTTATTGCCGTTGTAAAATTAAGTTTGTTAATAACTTGGTGTTGGCCTCTCCCAAAAAATACCATCAAGTTAAAAGTCATCTGCGCAGGAATATATCAATACTTTTGTCTAACTGTGACTTTTAGCGTTGCTGTAGGTTTAATGAATGCGGTGTGGAATCATCTTGATGATCCTGTTATTATGGCAAAATCGATAAGCGTTCTGTGTCCCGCTCTTCAAGTTGTTTGTAATATTATGTACTGTAAAATTAATTTCTATCGCCTAAAAGTAATTAATATAAATACATTTAGCAATTATACAAGAGCAAAAATAGAAGTAAATGCAATTGATTCTTATGTTTCCTTTTTGTAAAATTTATTTATCGCGTTATCGATTTCAGTTGGTTACTTTTGAAATGGAAAATTTCTGTGAATTACTTAAGTCTCACGAAGAAACAATCGTTCAACGATATATTCATAAATGCGCTTATTTTTATGGTGGATCTATGATTTGGATTTACCTGAGTGCCGTCTTTATTATGTCTGGACCTCTTACGCTAGATCAATCATTTCCAACAAACGCCGAATATCCATTCAATGTTGATTATCAACCTTTAAAATCAATTATCTTTATACAGCAAACTATTGCTTGCATGCAAGGTGCTGCTCAGTTATGTATGAATATTTTTATAGCGCTTTTACTATGGTTTACATCGGCAAGATTTGAAATATTAATCGAAAAATTTCGAGAAATCACAAACATTTATGAATTGAAGATATATATCCAGGAACATCAGAATCTGCTAAAGTAAGATACTATTGTCATTTAAGAATACTATTATTAAAATAATAAAATTTATATGATTAGTCTAACTTTGTATTTATGCACAGAATTACAATATTGCAATTATCTGTTATAACATACATATAATCGTTTAATATTTCAATAAAATCCATTATTTGTCATTAATAATCTTAACATCTTCATGAATATATTAAAATTAACTTTTATATTAATAATAATATAAACGTTGAGATTAATTATTATTATTTTCTTTACTATATTATAAAAATCATAATTAAGATAAAATTCTGTTAAAAGAATTTTTCAAAATACGTCAGTTTCCCGAAAATTATTTTATTATTTTTTTATTTTATTATTTATTATTTTTTTTAAATAGCAATGTTGTCAAATCTATTTACACAAAAAGCGATAACAATAATTTATAATGTTATCATTTATATTATGCTAGGTATACAGAAGAAGTAATTATCTTAGCTCGCCCCTTTGCATTGTCAACTATATATTTTAGTACTATCGCATTAATAATAGTGGGTCTTATTTTGATTACTGTGAGTACTATTGTTGTTTTATTGTTTGTTTGATAATATGTTTGATAATATGTATTTCATCAATATTTGTACGCGCGCGCGTCTTATCTTTTTAATCAAAACTTTAAAAAATTTTTTAAAAGAAACCAACATTTTAACTAATCCAATAAAATTTTAAGTTAAAAAAATATAAATAGAATAAATTTGATGAATAGAATAAAGTTTTTATAATAAGATATAAAATGAAGTATTTCCATTTTCATTTCTAAAAAAATATATTAAGTCAGTGCCTCGAATGTATTAAAATTTTTCTGCGATGCCGATTGGTTCTCTTATTGCACTTATTTCGTGAACAACTGTTTTTGCGAAAATCGTTTTGACATTTGTGTTATAATAAAAAGTTAATAGTATTATATAATTTTGCAACAGTATTATATAATTTTTACTCCTTCTGTTTAAAAAGATAAATAGCACACATCTGTAATGTCTAATATATGAAAATGTGAATGTGACGTACTTTTATTTTTGGATATATGTGTATGTACATATATATGTTTATATATGTTTCAGTTTGTGTATATTTAATTTTATATCGCTCTCTTTTATTTAAATATAAAATATTGTTAAAAAAATTTATTAAAATTTTCAATAAAATACAATAAATTCTGACTAATATTTATAATTCTTACTTGTTACATTAATAATTTATACTTATTGTAAAACTAGAAAAATTTCAATATAAATGTGATAGATAAGTAAACAAAGTAATTCGAAAAATAGCAATTTAATTATCTGTTCAAAATACTTTAATTTTTTAACTCGAATTATTTTATATTAAATAGGATCAACCATTGTCAATGAAAATCCAATGTATTGGCATAATTTTTAGTGGATTGTCAGTGGTATTTATGTTTACGTGGCCAGCAGAACATTTGATTCATATAGTAAGTTAATTATCATAAAAGAACTTTATTTTACAAAAGAGATTTATTTTGATTACAATTAAAATAAAATATTATTACTGTCAAATAGAGTAATGAGATTGGACAGGCAGTTTTTGATACGCAATGGTACGAACAATCGATCGGTCTACGAAAGGATTTACAAATAATTATGTTAAGAGCTCAAAAACCAGTAATTATCTCAGTACCATGTCTCATGCCCGCATTATCTTTGAGATATTATGCATCGGTAAGAAATTAAGATTAAATATATTGTGACATTGTACATGCACACGAAAGAAACAATTTTGCTGTAAGATTTAAAAATTTAATCAAATATAAATCTGAAAAATAATTTAAATATTTGTTAAACCATCAAAATTATGTAAAACTTTTAAGTATAATGATAATATTGCAAAATGTTTTTTATATTCTACAATCAATTTGATATTTACGTAACTATGTTCTACGTAACTATTTTGATAATCCAACAAAATTATTTTCCAAATTTATAAATCGATAAAACTGTCATTTTCGTGTACAACAAACATCTGTTGTTTTCAGAAATTCATCATTATATAATAAAAATAATATTGTTTAGTTAGTTTTTCTTAATAATTGTCTAAAGTTGTTTAAAGTTGTCGCACAATATAATTGTTTTCACTATATAATTGAATGCATAGTAAATATTATTTTCTTCATCTATCTGCATAAAGAAATTTTCACATAAAAAATAGAAAAAAAATAGTTAATATATATCTCTTTCATAAAAATTTTAATATATGAAAATATTATAAATGTTCCAGTATTTATCAACTATATTTTCTTATTTCACAACACTACGAGTAGCCATGCAAGATGATTAAAATGCAAAATAAACAAAAATGTATGCTGTTGATAACACTTGCATTATAGAAATTATGCAAACGGTTATATAAGATAAATTAATGTTTTTTTTCAATATAAAAAATCAATATTAATTTACGATAATTATAATTAAATGTCACATTAAATTTAAAATTGTTATAATAACATGATCTGTAATGATATAATAATGTAATAGTGTAATCATAATTAATTAGTTCAAAATCTTGTAAATTGTTTGCAATAATTGTCTTTTCTTATCCTTTTTTCAAGTTAACTAGATTTTAATTAAGATAAATAGAACAAAAATAGAAAGAAGTAAAAATGCATGCGCGTAAATAAATTCTAATTGATGATGATTTGACATTTTTCGAAAGTAATAATAAAATAAAGATATAGTAACAAGTTAATAACTCAGAAAATTCTTCTTAAATTAATAATTTAAAAATACAATAAAGATAAAAAATTGATTATTGAATCATTTATTTATTATCAGCTAATTAATTTCAGTTATTTACAATTCAACAAGAAATATTTTTAAAGTAATAAAAAAATCAAACAAATCTAATATATATGTATATATTACTATCTTTATTTTAATTAAACAGTTGATGTGTATAATATACATATAATAAAATGATAATATCAATTTTTAATATGTCTAACAATGGGGATATAATTCCTTTTTCCTTTCTTACTATTAATTTTAACTTTCTAACTTTGCTTAAGAGAATATTCTAAATGACAAAAAACTGATAAAAGCATTTTCAGTAATTCATTAAACTGATATTATTTTAAATGATAACTAATAAAATAGAAATAAAATTAATGCAATAATTTTCAAAGCGAATAAAGCTCTATCAATTAATAAAGATATTATCCGATAGGAGAGCTATCATGAACATGTTTTTTTCTTTGCTATCCTCGTTAAAGTAATTGTTTTCTTAAATAGTATGAGTAATGTTCTTCATCATTACATCAAATATTTAATATGTTCAGCACTATTAATACATCAGTAACTAACAGTAAGTTCGTCGATGTGCGTCATTTAAACTCTACATACATGCATGTATACTTGTGTGCTTTTCGATAATAATTTATACAAATGGAATTTCAGTAAATTTTCACAATTATTATTATATATTATATATATAATACAAAATTTTATCTGAACCAGAAGATAAAACAAGTATAAGTGCATTTGTGTGAGTGTGAGCTATGTAAGTATAGAAATGCTCATAGAATATGCTAGATGAAAGTAATCCTTTTGCACATGAATTGTATTAAAACAGAAAAATAAGAATGAGTAATTTTTATAATAAATTGCTCACTGTTATTCATTAATTACACAAAATATCACGATCATCATGAATGTCTTCTTGAAAAATGAAGTGAAAAAATGTTTTAAAATTATAATCTATAAAACAACTATTAGCTTTTATAGCATATAATATGTTGATAAAAATATGTTTGCAAAATTAGAATTATTAAGTTAAATATGTATTGTCATGATGCAATGCACGATTAAAAACCATTAATGAACGGACGCACGGACGCATTTTGTATAATGACAATACGTTTTTTTTCCTGAAACAATTAGTAGCTTTAGTACAATTCACCTTTTGTCTATCTTGTAGAGACCTGTATGTAAAGTAAATAGAGACATAATGAATCTATCATTGCAGAGTAAAATTATTTTTATCCCTATGCATGCCATAGATCAATATTTTTTAGCTAAATAAAAAATATAACTAAAAGTTAAAGATAAAAGTTAAAGAGAATAAAAGTTAAAGATTTTAAAAATATTTTAAAATTAATTTCAAAAATTATTTATAAACTTTTTATTTATGGATATTATTTTTTGATTAGGCATTAGAATATTATTGATAAACATACATTTGCTTACATTATAGATTTGATGTAATGTCTCTGACTTCCTATAATCTTTCAACAGTTTAATCGTGCAGCTTGATTCTCATCCAATCTTTTCGAATATTTCTTTTCACATAATATTAGTTCCATAACAGAATTGTTATATCTATGATCCATTGCACCATTCACTTAATTTATATTAATATTATTTCAAAATGTTAAATCCACTCTTTCCTCACTATTATAACACACAAATGTAAACATATATTAATATTTCTAAAACCGTTGCACACGTTTTTTCAATAAAACGTGTGTTTCTTTTTACGTACTTTTACATACAGAATATATACCAATAAAATCGCACGGCGTACAACGAAGAACATGCTGCAACCACTGCGCGTTAAAATTTGATAAACCCCTATCCGTAACGCCCTATTGCAGTACCTATATAATAACAGAAAAAGAAAACACGCACGTAAAATGATAGATAAGATAATACATAGTTTTTCTACAATATCCGATGTGTATAAATTCCGTGGTATATCCGAGATAGAAAAATCTTAATACATTATTTGCCTTGCATGCATATTTTGTTAGCTCAGATTGCATGCATTGTACAAAACGTTTCCGCTTATCGAATTTGAATGAGAAACTATCCGTCTACACACATCGTGTGCTTCATAATAATTTCATCAAAACATACTCCATGCAAAACGAAAAAAATACGCGACACGAATGTGTGTAATACATACATAGCGCGCAATCCCCCTCGACTACGCCCATACAGCGCAATATCTAATCTTGCAAATCTGTCGAACACTAACAAAATTATATACCGGTAAAAGAATTTTCTCTACTCGGAAATATCAACTTGTGAAACACATGTAACATAGATAACGCAGTGCAGTCATGCAAAGAAAGGTGACGCTAAAAGAAGTGATATCTGTCATAAAGCTAAGTTTGATTCCAATTTGGGGTTGGCCAGTGTCCAAAGATGCGACAAAGTATAAGATGTTTTGTGTAAAATTATATCACTCTTTGTGTATTATTATGGCAATAATGCTAGCAATACCGATAATTTTTGGCGCCATAAATCATTTAAAGGAACCTATCTATTTAGTACAGGAATTAGTTATATCAAGCAGCACTTTGCACGTTATTGCTAACTTTATCGCTTATAAAGTTAATTATAATGACTTACAGGTAAGTAATATATTTATCCATTTAACGTTAAGACATTTAGATGCAATAAAGTTAAGAAATTCTATTTTACTATTGTATTTATTTTATCAATAATACTATTATTTGCAGGATATTACTACGAAAGTAGAACATTTCTGTGACTTTATGAAACCGCATGAAGAAATCGTTATTCAACGATATATTGACAAGTGTGTTATATTCTACGGCTTCTCTCTGTTTATCTTCTATTTCTTTACATTAATAACAATCACACTTCTACCTCCCGTCTTGCATCAACCATTTCCAACATTGGCCGAATATCCGTTTGATGTAATTCAACAACCGCTACGAACAATTATTTATATGCAACAATCTTTAACCGGAATATTAGTATCAGGACAATTATGCACAAGTGTTTATATAGCTTTTATACTCTGGTTTACATCGGCAAGATTTGAAATATTGTGCGAAGAACTAAGGAATGTTGGCACAGATATCTATCAATTGTTCAAATGGATTAAATTGCATCAAGAATTACTCAAGTGATAACCCTTGTCTTATACAACATAATTTAATTAAAAATTTTTAATTATATAAATTCTTACAAGTATCTAATCCACTTGTTCAGATACGCAGTAAAAATTTCAATTACTGTTCGAGCTTTCGTTTTCATAACAGTGGCCTGTAGCACGTTTTGCATAATAATAATACTTTGTTTACTTCTTACTGTAAGTATAAAATATTATCTCAATCTAAAGTTGCTATCTATTATTTTATTATCTATATTATGCAAATCTACTTTTTGAGAAATTGTTGTATAAATTATATATATATATATATATATATATATATATATATATATATATATAACAATCAGCAAGTAAATTTAAGAAGTAAGAAAAAAAGAACTTATACACACGTAGTATATACTAGGAAATTATTATATTGCTCATATACTTATGCAAAAAAAGCAATTTGAACTATATTAAAAAGTTTTTGTAAAAGAATCAATATGAAAACATTAATTTTTTTTTAATAGCATCAATCATTTATACAACTATTCCAATTCTTCGGATTAAGTCTAGTGTGTCTCGCGGAAGTATTTATGTATACTTGGCCGGGAGAATATTTGATAAACATGGTAAGTTATTAGTTAAAAGTTATATTGGAATATAAATATTGTAAGGTCAAGTAATAGAGAGATTCGGAAATAGTTTTTAGAAAGTTGTCGCGGTCATAAAGACTAAGTGTCGCAATTCGTAAAGGATCCCCGAGTTTGAATCTCGGTCGATTTTATTAATTTCCTCAAATTTTGTTATAATTAATATATTATAAATAATATCATTTTAATAAATGTTCATTGTCTCCGTAGAGCAGTAATGTCTCACTGGCCGCGTTTGATGCATTACAAACTGATCAACCAGTTATAATGTGGAAATGTCTGCAAATTATAATAATGCGAAGTCAAAAACCAGTAACGGTTAAAATACCTTGTTTTTTACCTGCATTATGTTATACTTATTTTACAACGGTATGATAAGATTTCAACTCAAAATTGAACGATCATCATAATGTAGATATTAATTCTTTGGCATTTCATATAATCTCATATTTAAAGATTTAAATATTTGCAGAAATAAATCAAAATAGAAATGTAACTTTAATATATTGAATAATATTTTGAATTTAAAATAAAATAATATTATAATATATTTTATTGTAATACATATACATATATGTGTGTATACATGTGTGTGCGTATGCGCATATGTTAACAATGTATTAAATCTTTAAATCTTTAAATATGAGACTGTATAAAATGTCAAAGAATTATAATATTTACATTATGATGATTGTTCAGTTTTGAATTGAAATCTTGCATGTGTGTGTGTGTGTGTGTGTGTGTGTGTGTGTGTGTGTGTGTGTGTGTGTGTGTGTGTGTGTGTGTGTGTGTGTTGTTGTTATATATATATATAATAACACACACACACACACACACACACACACACACATATGATTTTGATTATATATATTTGATATATATTTTACACATATATAATCAAAAATTCTCTTTTAAAGCACAAAGAAAAATAAATGTAAACTTATTTTTATATTTCAGTATTGTTCGACTATACTTTCCTATTTTACAACATTGCGAGTAATGATAAACGAATAAAAAGAATACAATATCAATTTGTATGGTATGTAATAAAAAATAATCTCTTTAGAAAATTAATGTTTGCATAAAAAAACTTTCTATATGTTAACTTTCTATGCATTATAAATTGCTAAAATAGAACAAAATAAATGCTTCAACAAACTATATTGTTTATTTTAAAAATAATAATAAATAAAATTATTATTATTTTAGTGTTAATAATGTAATATAATTTAATTAATAGTAATCAACTATTTATTAATATACATTTTTTCTAATAAAATCAATTATCTAATATTTTATAAACTTTTTAGTGTTTATATATAAGTAATATTTACATTCTCTTTAATACTAAAATTGTTATTAAAAATTACATATGCATCAATAAAATTAAATTTACAATTTCTTTTATAGGCACAAAGAATTATGGAAACATCTCACGTCTAATAAATGGAAAAAATCAACAAAACAGGTATAAATCACAGGTATAAATCATTAAACAAAATGTAATCATAATCTAAAAAAATTTCTAATAATCTAATAAATATTTAATAAAATTTTTGTTGCAAACACATTTTCACTTATTTGTTTTTAATTATTCCTATGCATTATATTTTTCAAATTATAAAAATAATGAAAAATTTTCTTTTTTAAAGGAAAAATAGGATAAAAAAAGAAAGAGTATAAATCCTGCTTTATGCGATAAAGCATTACTATAATTAACATTAATTATAAGTTAACGGTATATCATTCTATTATAATAAGAAAATCAACAATGTTATGTTAGGCCCTGTGCATAATGAAGGAAATATTAGAAATAGGAATAAATATTAAATTTTAGAAATAAAAATTCAGAATAAAAATTAAACGTAATCCAATAAATATAAGTACAATAAATATAAGTATTATAAGATATGATTATGTTTTATACTTATTTATATGCATTATTCATTACATTTAATTTTTATTCCAAATCTTTTATTTCCAAAATTTAATAAAATTTGTTCCTATTTCTAATATTTGCTCTATTGTGCGCAAGCTTTAGTTTACTATGCACGTGATGCTAACAGTATTATGTTCTATAAAACTGATTAGAATTAACTGATTTATGTTAATTGTTTTTTTTTATCTTTTCTTTATCTCTATAAAAAGTTAATTCTTCAATTAATAAATAAGAATGCATGTACAAATAAATTCTAATGATGATGATTTGACAGTTTTAAGAATAATAATAAAACGAAGTACATAATAACAAATTAATAATCCCAAAAATCATTTTTGAATTATAATTTGAAAATATAGTAAGATAAAATATTGATTATTGAATTGATATTGATTATTATTGTCAGTTAATTAATTAGTCAATTCCATTTATTTACAGTTTAATAAGAAATATTTCTATTCGAAACCAATGAAAAATCAAACAAGTTTAATGTGTATGTATATTTTTACTATTTTATATTTTATATGTTATATCTTTCTTTTGTCATTTAAAAAATAGTCAATGTATATATGGTACATATTATAATATCAATACAATTTTTAATATGTCTAACAACGAATATAATTCCTTTCTTCTATCTTAATATTAATTTATTTTTTCATTGAATATTCTAAATGACAAAAAACATAAAAAGCGCTTTCAATACTTTATTAAATTCATATTATTTTAAACGAGAGACAATAAAAGAGAAATGAAATTAATGCAATAATTCTCAAAGCGAATAAAATTCTATCATTTAATAAAGTTATTATTCGATACAAGAGCTATCATGAGAACTGCTTCTCTTTCCACATTCGTTAAAATAATTGTTTTCTTAAATAGTATGAGGAATGGTCTTTGTCATTACATCAAACATTTAATATGATCAAATATTTAATGTATGTAATGTATTAATACATCAATAACTGAGTTTTTTGTCGATGTGCTGTGTGAACGCTACATATGTTATGCATACATTATATACTTACGTACTCTTTGATAATAATTTACACAAATAGAATTTATACACGAATAGAATAGTTATTATTATTATTACATTATATATAACTTAATACGAAATTTTATCTAAATCAGGAAATAAAAGAAAGTGTAACTATGTGAGTGCTATTACAAATAAATAATTTGATAAAATGTGTAAATGGAGTCATCAAATTAACATTATTATAAAAATTAGAGACTGGACAATTATTAACAATTTATTGTTTATACTAAATCTGCTTACATTATGAGTTTGGTGTAATGTCTCTGATTTTTTATAATCCTTCAGCAAAGATTCGTCCAATTTTGAATATTCCTTTTTATAATATTAGTTCAGATTTGAAGTATCTTTAATATGTATCTTTAATTGACTGCAGCATTCCACTTATTTCAAAATATCAAATCTACTTTTTTCTCAACATTATGACAACATATAAACATGAAATTAATACGTCTAAAACCATTACACTTCAGTTTAATAAAAGGTGTGCCGTTTCTTATGTACTTTCACAAACAGAATAGTTATCAATAAAATTGTAGGGCGTACAACGAAGAACATACATACTGCACGTTAAGATTTAATAAGTAAGAAACCTATTATACCCTATTACAGTACCTATAATAACAGAAGAAACACGTAAAATGATAGACAAGATAATACATGGTTCTTCTGTAATATCTACCATGTGGGTAAAGTTCTATGGTATATCCGATACGGTATATCCCAGAAAAATCATAATACATCTTTTACTTTGCATGCATATTTTGTTAGCTCAGTTTGCAAGCATTGTTTACAAAACGTTTCCGTTTATTGAATTTAAATGAGAAACGCTATCCGTTCCTTCACGTGCTTCATAATAATTTCATCAACGTACATCCCATGCACAACGAAAAATACGCACGGACAAATGTATTTAATACATTTGTAGTACCCAATCCCTCTCGACTACACTCCTACAGTCTTGCAAATCTCACTAACAAACATATAATAATTAATAAAAGAAACTTCTTCCGGAAATATCAACTTGTAAAACGCATATAACATAGGTAATGCAAAGAAAAGTGATGCTAAAGAAAGTGATCTCTGTTATAAAGCTAAGTTTAATTCCAATTTGAGGTTGACCAGTCCCCAAAGATGCGACAAGATATAAAATGCTTTGTATAAAATTATATCACTATTCATATATTTTAACAGTAATACTTCTAGTAACGTCATTTATTTATGGCACCATAAATCATTTAAAGGACCCTGTGTTCTTAGTAAATCAGTTAGTCATGACAAATAGTACTCTCCACGTTATTGCAAACTTTACCTTTCTTAGACTTAATTATGACTTACAGGTAAATAATATTTATTTACACATTTAACGTTAAGACATTCAAGTGCAAATAAGTTAAAAAAATGCTATTTTATTTTATCAATAATGATGTAATTATTTGCAGAATGTTACTATCGTAATGGAACGTTTTTGCAACTTCATGAAACCGCATGAAGAAATTGTTATTCAACAATATATTAACAAGTGTATAAAATTTTATACACTTTTTCTTTATTTTTCTCTGTTTATCTTTTATTTTATTGCATTTATAACAGTTCTATTACTACTTCCCGTAATGCATCAGAAATTTCCATCATTCGCCGAATATCCATTTGATGTAACTCAACAACAACGAACAATCATTTTTATACACCAAGGTTTATGTGATGTATTAGTATCAGAACAATTATGCGCAAATGTTTACATAGCTCTTTTACTCTGGTTTACATCGGCCAAATTTGAAGTATTATTGGAAGAGATAAGAACCAGCACACGCATTTATCAATTCTTCAAGTGTATCAAAATACATCGAGAATTACTCAAGTAAATACTACCAACTCGTCTTACACGATATGATTTAGTTAAAATAGTTTAAGATATGAATTTTAATAAGTAACTAATGTATTTGTTCAGATATGCAGAAGTTGCAATGACTGTTCGACCTTTCGCTTTTATAACAGTGTGCTGTAGCATGTTTTGCTTGTCCTTTGCTTATTTCTCACCGTAAGTATATAAACTATTATGCAACTCTTCTATATATTTTCTCCAAAATTTATGCATAAATTTATATGTATATATATATATATATATATATATATATATATATATATATATATATATATAAATAACAATCAGTAAATACATCTAAGAAGTTAAGGAAAAGCAGTTATGCATATACAACATATATTATTACATTATTATATTGCTTATTTATTCATGCATAAAGAAGTATTTTATTAAACTATGTCGAAGAATTTTATCGTGAAAAGATTGACAGGAAAATATTACGTTTCTTTTTTAAATAGCATCCACCAATTATAGCATTTATCCAATTTTCGGCATTAACTGTGGTGGGTTTAGCGGAGGTATTTATGTATACTTGGTCAGGACAATACTTAATATACATGGTAAATTATTAATACTATTATTAAGTTATTATATTATTAATAAAATCACTTTAATAAATGTTTATTATCTTTGCAGAGTAGTAATATTACACAAGCCGCAATCGAATATGCATTCCAATATGATCAACAAATTATAATATGGAAATGTCTGCAAATTATTATAATGAGGGATCAAAAACCAACGGTTAGAATACTTTGTCTTATGCCTGCATTGTCTTTTAATTATATATGATACAACGGTAAGATAAAAATTTCAAAAGACAAAATTTACATAACAATTACCATCATAACATAGATGTTAATTCTTTGGCATTTTTCATAATTTCATGTTTATAGATTTATATATTGTAACATATATGTACACACAAACGTACATACATGCACATATATCATAAATTAAATAATTATAATATTATTTTATTTTAAACACTCGATTAAAATTATGTTAGATACTATTATTAATTTGTTTCGTTACTTATTTAAAATTTTTTGAAGATTTAGTAACTTTCCATTGTTTTTCTCAAAATATTTTTAAATGAAAAAAAGGATCTAATTAAAACTTAAATAAACATATTTGATCCATATTTGAGTTTATTTGGAACTAATACTTTGCTTACGGGGAGTTCGAATTCATTTTGTTTAAATTTAAATTTATTTAAAAGTACTTCTTTCAGTACTTCTTTCTATAATTACTTTTTTTCAAAGTAATTATAAATTGTAAATAATAAATTACAAAGAATATGAAACTATGTAAATAGAACTATGTAAATAGATTCAAATTTGCATATATAATATACTTAATCTCATCAATATGTACAAATATTGTTCTGTATGTATAATCAAAAATTATTCATTTTTGTAGCATAAACAAAAACAAATATAAATACAAATAAATATAAATTTATTTTTATATGTTTCAGTACTGTTCAACCATACTTCCCTATTTTACAACGATTACAATTGCGAGTAATGATAAAAGTAATGATAAACGACACAATATCAATTAAAAAAAGACACAATGTCAATTTGTAGATATGTAATCAAAATAATTGCTTTAAACAATTAATGTCTGCACAAAAAAGCTTTTTTTTATTGCATTGCAATATTACTAAAATAAAATAAATATTCCAACAAGTTACATTGTTTGTTTTCAAAATATCAAAAAATAAAACTGTTATTTTAGTGTTAATAATAATACATCAATTTGAAATTAATAATAATCGATTATTTGTCGATATGTATTACTAAATATGCATATAATATCAATAATATGAAACCTTAAACAATATACAGAAATAATATTTAAATTTAAATTTAATTTAAATTTAAATTTAATATTGAATATATTGCTAAAAATTATAATTCTGCCAAATTAATATTTAGAAAACTAGTTATGATTTAAAAAATTTACATAAAAATTTATAAATTTTTTAATATTTATGAGTGCTAAGTAATCTTTTGAAAATATTATTAAATTTTTTACACTAAATTTATTAAAAATTACCTATGTTAGTAAAATTAAATTTATTATTACTTTTGTAAATGCAAAAAATTGTAGAAATATCTCACATCTAATAAACAAAATAAATCAACAAACTGATATATAATCATGTAAAATAAAATAAAATAAGTCTAATGAAATTTTGTTGTAAACGCATTTTTACTTTTGTCAACTATTTATATATTTATATATATTTTTTTTTAAATTATAAAAATAATTCTATTTTCTTTCATAGAAGACAAATAGAATAAAAGAATCTGTCTGACTCTTGTTTTATACAATAAGGCATTATATTTAGCATTAATCATAATAAGTTAACAATATATGATTTACGATTACGAATATATGATTTTATTATTACGACAAAATCAACAATTGGAATGTTATTCTATTACGGAATGTTATAGTTGCATTATTATTATTTTTATAACTTTTTAATTAATTAGTATTAACTGATTAAATAATGTACACACATTATTTAAAAGTAATATAAGACTTACAATTCCAATTATTATACTGCATCCATGGATTTTTGTGTGTTGCGTAATTGTTAGATGAACTGAGCAAATTCACTGATAAATTGATCCCTGCCAACGGGCCATCATGAAGAATGGTAAACAAGAAAGTTTGATCGAAACTGTCACCGAATTTGGACCGATAATGCGCCGCTATCGATCCATTTCGATAGCGTCGAGCGCGTTGATAACTGTACTTGTTATGAAGTTTGTATACAGTTCGTGTATACAAAGAGTATAAAGTTCGTGCACAGGTTAACGTTACTTACTTTGCGAGTACTCACTTCTGCGCGTGAGTGCGAGTGTTTCCCTACCAGTAGACATCTCTTTTCCCTTTCCCGGTCGAAGCAATACATACACATTTGTTTCATCATTTATATTCCATGATTAATTATATTTTGATACCTGTCAAAAAAATTATTTTTCTTGAAAATATTTTAGAAAGAAGACATTGGTATGAAAAGAAAATTATGTTAATATCTAATATCCGCGTGATGTATCATAACTGTACATTCTTAAGATATACTCAAATAGTATTCATATAGTATTTCCTTTATCGTATATTTTTACATCATGAGAATATGCTCAGAATATCCATGTGATGTATTATTGTTCGTATATTTTTTCTCATACAATTAGTCATTGAAGTTTGAAGTTTGATTATAAATTTCAGTAGTTAATTTCGAAGATGGACTGCAACATTAAATGTGCAAAACAACATGAAAAAATAGTCATAGAAAAAATAGTCTGTCAACAATACGTCGATAAATGCGCAATGTTATACGCAAACACCACATTGACCCTCTTTTCTGCTGCTTGTGTTATTTTTAAATATTGTTTATTAATTCTATAAAAGTCTACAAATATAACATCTTTGCGAAGAAATGAAATAAGAGGGAATTGAATAGACATAAGAATGTTGTTCTTTGCTATTCATACCATTTCCTCGATTTTATAGATATTGCATATTAACAATTTAACAACTTATTATCATTAAATGTAACATTTTATTGCAAATGTAAGAACATTCTCTTTTCTTTATTACTTATAAGAAACTATTATTCTTTCTATAAATTGTTATAACATTCGCAACACTTGAAAAACAATCAACTATAATGTTCTACATGTAAATTACAGCATATATCGATGTTTCACGGTATACGTACATAAATCATAAGTTCATAAATCATGTAGTTTGATTGTACATTAAATATTTATGCGTTGTGGACGTGCAAAAGAAACTTATAACACTTTATTCGAAATAACGGAACGCGAGAGGACATTATAAACAAATATAGATTTTGAATTATTATTGTACATTACATCGAAAAATTCATCGATTTAATCATGATCAAAATAACTCCGGAAGCTACTGTTTCATTTACAAAAATAATAGTTGCTTTATCCTTTTCATGGCCACTTTCAAAAAGTGCTAGTAAATTACAAGTATTACGTTTCAAAATTTTACGTTTTTTGGTCTGTATGAATGCAACTTTATTGATTGTGCCAGTGGCCTATACTCTTTACTGTAACGACGTCGATCTGCCAAAGATAACAAAATTATGGTGCTTATTGGGTGCCATTATACAAGTCCCGCTGGAGATAACACAGTGCGCACTACAGTATGATCGATTGCAAGTAAGAAATATAAAACATTAGATCAATATTTGATAAACACTTTTTGTTTTATTTAATTGTATATAAAAATATTAAAATGAATTAAAAAACTATACTCTTATCTTTACCTTCATAATATTATTTATCTTTATAATTCTTGAATAACACTATTATATAAATAATAATTTGCATCACTATTATAAAACTAATATATAATTTTACTAATTTATAATTTTATTTACTTATTTATAATTTGCTAAAAACACTGTGTGATGTATCTTAAGTTAAAGTTAAAATATTCAAGTAAATTTCAGTATTTAATTTCGGAAATGGACTATACTATCAAGTGCGCAGGACACCATGAGAAAGTAGTTTACCAACGGTACGTCGATAAATGTGCAATGTTTTACGCAAGCTCCACATTGGCAGTTTTTTCCACTGCATTCGTCTCAATGATCGCGCCACTGATAACAGCCGATCAGAGCTTCCCAACAGACTCACGATATCCTTTTAACGTGGAATATGAACCAGTGAAGTCTATTATCTTTCTACATGAAATCATCGTTATTTGGCAGTGTTTTTCCATTGTTTGCCATTGTTGTTTTATTGGACTTCTCATATTGTTTGCTGCGGCGCGGTTCGACATCTTGTCACAACAATTTCGTAAAGTCACAAACATCCACGATATTACTCTATGTATACGGCAACATATAAAATTGTTAAGGTAATAGAACAATATATTTTATTATTTAAAACCTAATAGTCATTATTCTCTAATAAAAAATTATTAATATTTTAAACGTGTATTTTAAACAAATTTGACACAAGATTCAGCACTTAGCACACATACATTGTATTTTGTTCATAAAGCTTGAAATAGTTATCGCTTGATATTTTTCTTATAAAACAAGGTCACTTGTCATATTATATTCTTTAAAAATAATTTCACTAATCGGTATTTTATTTTTCACAAATCTAATAAAATAATTTTCATCTATATCATTATTTTATAAAATAATAATAAACAAAATCATTGACATAAGATCTATACATAATAAACAAATATTGGAGTACAAGCAATGTACAGGTTGTCCAGGTATAATCATCTCTAGTAATAATCATATCTCTCATAATTAAATAAGGCGGGTTGAACTATGTAGAAAAATTTTGCAAACTTCGAAACAATTATTATGAAAAAAATGGTAAAAAATGATAAAAAAGTTTTCTATCAATATCATCCGCTTCATGTATTCACAAGAGATAATATAATTATTATCAGACATCCTCTACAATTATATATCAGGATTATCAAATTACAAGTTATTCCAGATATGCTCAAGAAGTAATAACTGCTGTTCGTTCATTGATATTAACAGTAATAATTATCTGTACATGGGTGATTATAGCTAGTGGTCTTACGATTGTAGGCGTAAGTGCAGCATTTACATTCTTTATTATTATAAAATCTAAAATTGGCTCGCGATGACAATTTTATTAAAAACAATTTATTACACAAATATATATTTATGCATTTTTTTATGTTATCATCATATATTTAGAAAAGTACATTTGCGGATAAAGTACAATTCATGATTTTATGCATAACCGGACTCATGGAAGTTTATGCATGTGCTTGGCCAGCTGATCACTTGATAGATGCAGTAAGTTGCAACGACATTTGCTATCAAATCATAATTTGAACAAAGAAACTAGAGATATTCAGACCATTTATCGCACGTAATTGTTGTTTTTTTTTTTTGCTTAATAGCGCGAAGCAAAAAATTAAATTAAATTGATTATAAAATAAAAAAATATTAAAATAAATGTATCGCTTTGTTTATAAATAATTACATATAAAATGTAATAAATACATTAAGTTGTATTTAAAACAATTAACACGGTATGTTTATTATCTTAAATTAAAATTAAATGTATTTATTATTAATATGTACTCAATATTTAAAATAAATTTAGTGCTATACAGTGAAAATACAAATTTCTTTAGCAAATATTCATTCAAAATATTTATCATATATTTAGTTTCTTGACTATTGTGATCGTTCTAAAACTTGTATAATGTATTATTTATTAGAGTACCAACGTTGCACAAGCAGTTTACGAATTATTGTGGTACGATCAAAACAAGATTATTCAAAAAAATGTGTGCTTTATTCTACTAAGGAGTCAAACACCAATGATAGTTTCTATTTCTGTTATACTTCCAACTTTATCATTACAATATTATGCATCGGTAAGATCTTTAAGTTGAAAAAAATTTTATTATTTATTTAATATTTTACATCTTAAATAAAATTCTTGAATAATAAATGTTTAATTAGTATCTAAGTTAAAAAAGATATTTTTTTGTTATAAAAATATTTGATCATTTATAGTGTATAATCATATTAGCATTATTACTTCCAATTGCATATTAATCTACAAATATAAACATTATATTTAACATTATAATTTTATAACATTATAATTTTATATAAAATTTTTGTTGTTTATTACTTATATTTTTATACTAAAAGCACAAAAAGCATATTAATATCAAAATTTTATATATTTCAGTATGTTTCAACAGCCTTATCTTATCTAATGACATTGCGAATAGTATTTTTGGAAAATGATGAAATCAAAAATTGAAATGTAATTATGCATAATTCCTCCAAATTTTTGTTCACAAAAAATTTCTATATTTTACATAATAAATCTTTTATCTCTGTCAGCACAAAAACTTGATATTTATTTGTATCTTGAAATCGTATATAGTAAATATTAATTGACATGCATTATCTCGAAACAAAAGACTTTAAATTATGTTATATCAGCTTTTTTCCTTCTCACAATTAACGTAACATAAAAATAAATTAATTTTATTATAAAAGAAGTATGTATTACATAATTACATAACATAATTACATATACATACATATACATAATTTTCTTACAAAGTAAGACAAGTAAAATAAACAATTAAAACAAATATATGCACATACTTCAATATCATAAATTATTATAAAACCTAATATAATATTGACTTAATATATTCAGTTGATTTATAAAATTTTATAATAAATATGTATGGATTGAACATTTTTCTTATTTTTACTTATTTATACATTATATTATATTTTTAATATTAATCGAACAAACATTATATTAGTTCCATTATATATTGTTTTAAAATTACAAAGAATTTTTATTTGCATATATATTTGCAAGTAATAAAACACATAAATCGTCATAAATCGTTATTTATAATAAAATCATCAAAAAATCTTTTTTGTATACACCATAATAGAGAATATTTTTCTCTTAACATAAATCAATAGTATAATAATATAATAATGTCATTAATCGTATTTACTCTTATATTTTCTTTTATTAATTATTTAAGATATATTTTATATTTATAAAATCTAATTCATACAAAGATTACAGGACGCCATTGAAACATAGAGATGATACTTACTGGTATTTACGTTTAACAAAAGAAAATCCATGTGTATCACGTAACTCATATAATTCATTATTTCCTTCTTCCCTCTTGCAATTTCTGCCATATGGTACTTTCATGTGCATCCCTCTGTCGACGGAAAGTACATTTTGCGTTAAAATATAAATGAATGCAATTATAGGTGCAATTTAAGAGTTCAATATACAAGCGTACATCGCACGATTTTTCCACGAATTCTTAGGGGAACATTGTAAAGTTGGATGCAAATCATAATAAAGTGCGTCATTTTCTGCCTCTAATAGTCTATGAGATTATCATTATTATGACAGGAATATTGACGTTAGAGAAGATTATTGCTTTCTTAAAAGTAGATCTAGTATTTGCATGCTGTTGGCCACTTCAAGTAAAAGCTACAAAATTTCAAAAAATTTGTAATAAAATATTTCGTTTATTTTGTTGTTTAAATGGCATACTGATGTCAGTATCATTATTCTACACCTTAAGTAATAAATGTTATAATATGCTACTTGTAATGAAAGTGGGTTGTGAACTAAGTGCCTTTCTGCAAATTCCGATACAAATTACATTGTTCACATTTCAAAGTGATCGTTTGCAAGTAAGAAACAAGTTTTCATGTTCATCTTATCATAATTTTAACATATGCTTACATTCGTCATTTGTATTACTGTTATCGAAAAGATAAAATTAAGTTTAAATGAAATAAAGATATGAATTTTGCAATCTAAGAGAAACTTTTCGAAATGTAATTTATGATATTTTTTTCAAAAAATATTTTTAAAAAATCCTATTTTACCTTTTAACAAAATTTCTTTTATTTATTGAATACATTATAATATAAATATTTTAAAAGCAAAATGTTTGGAGATGTGACAAATGATAGAACATCCGCTTATAGTGCACATCTCTAAACACTTCGTCGCACTCCTAGTAATCATGAATGGGCATAATGCTAGGTTATTTTTTCACGCAGACGTACATTCAATCATTCATTCATTCGGATTTTTATAAATAAATATCTCATTAACTGTAAAGCATTCTAGATGTCCTATATTAATTTATTTTAACATATACAAATACTATAATCATATAATTAATTTTATAATTATTTAATTAATCATACTTATATAATAAATAATTAATTTTTTACTAAAAATTTTATACGTAAAAATGTTCAACTATTACATCATAATAATTACATGTATATTTTAAGTTGTTTTATTTTATATTTATGCAAATTTTTGTAATCTAAAAACTTAGGAAATTGCAAATGAAAAAAAATATTAAAATATCATTATTTGAATGAATAAATCTGACTTGTTTTATAAATAAAATTTATAAAATTTATTATTAGATCTTATCAATATGACCAATTATATAAATATGCAGATTATAATATGTGAAATGGAAGATTATATCAACCGAGCGAAATCAGAAGAGAGAAGTATATTTAATCAATACATTAAGAAATGTAAATTATTTTATATTACAACGATTTGTTGGTTAACCATAACCGCAAGCGCTATGATTTTTGGACCAATTTTGCTATCTCAACCCTTTCCAATTGAAGTTGATTATCCATTTGATGTAAACAAACAACCGCTACGAACTATTATCTACTTGCATCATGCAATGGCTGTATATCAAAGTTATGTACAAGTATCTAGTAATATCTTTGTAGCCCTTCTGCTTTGGTTCGTAGCAGCAAGGTTCGATATTTTATCTCAGAAATTTCAGAAAATTAGTAGTATTTCAGAATTTATGATGTGCGTACAGCTGCACCAACAACTATTACGGTAAGATAAAAAAACATTATTACAGAATATCACATTTAAAAACAAATTTTGCGTTCTTATTCATTCTATTCCTAATTAATAACTTGAAAATTACTTTAATTAATTAATATATAGCATACATGTACATAAGAATTAAATTAAAAGTTAAAAACTATTAATTATTTAAGTAACTAGTAATTAAGAGGTAATTGTAGATATGCAAAAAATGTTACAATGACAATTCGATATATAGCATTATCATCGATAGGATTTAGTACCGTAGCAGTAGTCTTTAGCGGTCTTACCTTTTTAAGCGTAAGTAACACTTATTTTATTTTGTTATATATTTTGTTATTGTTTACAAAATATTAAATACGTTTATTGGTAGAAAATATTTTATTAAAGATAATAGAAATATATTCAAAAATTTTATATTATATGAATAATATTTATATAATTATCAAAATTTTTTAAATAGATGCAACTGTTACTTTTATATAAAAAATATAAAAATTAATATATTAATTTATAATTGTATTTATAAACACTAATCAATTCTTTTCTTTTCAAACGTATGTTTAAATATCATTTTGCATTACATTATATTTGTCAAAATATTATTTTGCGCAGCGACAACCTTTCGCAATAAAAATTCAATTTTTTACTGTTGGCGCATCTGCACTTATAGAAGTCTTTGTTTGCGCGTGGCCAGCTGAGTATTTATTAAGAACGGTAAGAGCCGGAGCACACACTTCTGCTTAAAGCATAATGCATAACGCATAAGAAAATGAACCAATCAGAATCTTTCATTTCCATTGTGAGGGTAGAAATGAAGGATTATGATTGGTTCATCTTATGTGATATGCATTATGCGTTATGCAAAAGTATGTGCCTGTGAACAGTTACACAAAAAATTAAATAAATAAAAATTAAATAAATAAATAAAATAAGTAAGGGAATACTCTAATAAAGTCAATACGTAATGCATCAGAAGTC